ATAGGGCTCAGAAGATTAAAGAGCAGGAGCCAGTGGACCCCCTTTTGCATGCTAACTCTAGAGTGGCTGAGGATTGGCTTATAAAGGAGGAGGCTTATTCAGACGACCAAAACATATCCGATTGGAGCACCATTTCCCCACCTATGGGCAACATAATGCTCTTGGGATCGCGTGCTGATGATTTTGAAGCCTTAGGTGTAGGTAATGATGAATATCCTTTACAAAAATTTCTGATGAAAGAGGTTCTTCTTTTGTGCATTGTTAACGTTGTGACAAACCTACCACAGGTTTTGATGATTTGGAAGTACTCAATGGTGTTAGCGAGGAAGCTACCGATGATAAGCCAGCAGAATTTTTCTGAAGGGGTTTCTCTTTTCCTATATGAAGGGGAAAACCTGGTATTTTTCTGTTTAGGTCATTTCCAGCAGCCTTGTAAAGCTTAGAAATGTTGTGACAGGGGTATGGAGCAATTTTTCTAGTATTTTCTTTTATTAATTTTAAGATTGTAACATGGAAATTGCTGAAATGGTGGTGAAACATTAGGAACTGAGTTTGTGGTTTTTTGTAAGTAACTGTTACTGGCATTTTTTTTAAGAATCACTGGTAGCAGAATAACTGGCTGTGTCATGCATACAATTAGCTCATTCCATCTTACCTGATTAGAAAGATTGAGAAGATTTAAAGCATCAGAATCGTGGAATATTTTTGGGCCAAGAATTGTGGCCCACTTAATCAGAACCTATGTACAATCTGGCTTCAATGTTTGGGCCACAATTTAGGCCCAAATTACTTCAAAACACATCGGATTATTTCATGGCACCTCTTTTTTAAAAAAAAAAAATTTGTTTTAAATTCGTAATAATCATCTTCCTATCATGCCTTAATCAGTAGTAGTTACTTCTTCTTCTTCTTTGTAATTCCTTTTTTTGGCTTAATGAAAGGGAAAACAATTTAAAAACAAAGAAGAATTTAATACCCATCTCAACCACATAAGAATTAGCACTGTTTTCGTAGAAAATAACAATTCAAACAAACGGACTCTTAGATCCTGTTTGGATTGTCATTTTCTATTAGAAAATTATGTCGTTTTTCGTAATCACATTTTTTTATTACCTTTTTTTCTACGTCAAATCGTTACAGTAATTTTTTCAAACCGTTACCAGTCTAACACGAAACTCCCTTTCCACGGTACGACTACTTTGGAAGGTACGCAGCAACTTGCAGCCCAATCAACCTGCCCAGCCGCTTTTTCTATACCCATTAATCACCCTTCAAGATTCAAGCTTGTTTGTCTTCTCCACACAAACCCGAGAAAGAAAAAAGAAAAGATGAGTACCAATTGAGTTGTTGAAAGAATTTCTCTTCCTTTACTTCCTCAGCAGACAGCAGCACCATGGCAACTTTCTTTGAAGTCCCACATCATCAAAAAGTAATCTTGACCGGAGTCGATTCGATTTTTAGGTGAGTTTTTTAGTTTTAGCAGACTCTGATCGTCTTTTCCCTCTTCAGTTTTCTTCTTTTTTTTTTTTGGAACTGAATATGTATCTGTTAATTCGCTTCTCATCAAAAAGGGAAATTAAAATTCTTTTTTTGGTTTTCGTTTTTCTTCCTAAATCCATGGTTCAGTTATGTTATGTACGTGCAAATTTGCAGATTGCATATCAATTCGTCCAATCAATTGTTGATGTCTATTGCTTGAACTATCAATCTAGAGTTCAGACAATATAAACATCACTAATTGCTGTTTTACTTTGGAGAATCTTAGGCTTTTTACTTCAACCAAAAAAAATCTTAGGCTTTTTATTCGTCAGAAAGAACAAAGGAGATTAGATTCCAATCCTATTGTTAAAGAAATTAAATTGAGAAAAGCAATAGTCACAAACCATGCAAATCTGAACAATGATATTGTTTAGTGCTAATAGGACGAGGTGTTGATTGATGTCAGTGTTGCAATATATATATATAGCCTGCAACATAATGTGCTTATATTATCTTACCAACTCATAGCTAGTGCTGGACTTGGTTCATGATAATCTAATTGTTATGTTGTTGAAGGTGTTTTATAAGGTTTACCACAGTTGAACAAAATATCAGGGAAAAAGTTTACAGAGCCAAAGTTGATGGGTCCGAAACAGCTGATGGAACAGGATCCGGGAGAGTTGGATGTCAGCAAACTGCATCCTCTCTCTCCCGAGATAATTTCTTATCAACCAACAATAAATATTGGTAATCCTCATTAGACTTACAGTTGTTTGATTTTAATACATTGTTGCTTCCCAAATCCCAACTGACTGTGTTGAAATTTTGAAGGCCTTATTGGTCATGTGGCGCATGGCAAAACGACCGTTGTAAGAGCAATCTCTGGCATCAGGGTAATCGTCATGCACTTTTTCTACAACTTACAATGCTTGGTTTTTTATTTCTCAGCACATTTTGATCATAATTTACCTATCTTTTTCGTTAATAACATGTTTTGGCTCTTCTACTAATTACAGACTACCCGTTTCAAGTGTGAACTGGAGCGGAACATTACTGTTAGACTTGGATATGCAAATGCAAAAATATATAAATGTGAAGATGAGCGCTGTCCTCGGCCTCTGTGTTACAAGTAAGTTTATTGAACTGCTCAAGTTTGGTTTCCTTCATCTTTTCTTAAATTTGTACTAATTACCTAAAAAACACATAATGCAGGGCGTATGGAAGTGACATGGTTGACAATCCTCCCTGTGATGTGCCCGGTTTTGATAAATCCAAGATGAAACTGCTGAGACATGTCTCTTTTGTTGACTGCCCGGTATGTTCTTCATTTTGGAAACAGAGATTGAATAAGTAAAGCACATAGTACCTTTCCCCCCGGCAGTCACAGTTATGGATGCTCAAATTTTTCTGCATGTCACCTATCTTAAGTTTTTACTAAATTCTGTGTTAAGTTTTCAACTACATAAATCCCTTTTTAAGCTGTAAAGTAACTTGTTTAAAGAACTGGATAGTCAAGTAATCTACCTGCATTCTATGGATAAGTGAATATAACTCCTTATCGTAGGCTACTGAATTGTGTACATGTGGATATGTAAGTACTTCAAAGACCTGAATCTATGTTTTGTCTTTGCAGCATACTTTTCAGATTAATCTGTTGATCTTAATTTCGATGTACAGGGACATGAAATATTTATGACTAGGATGCTCAGTGGGGCAACAGTAATGGATGGATCACTCCTCCTAATAGCTGCTAATGAGAGTTTCCCCCAGCCTCAAACACTTGAGCATTGGTCTGCAGTAGATCTTCTGAAAATTCAAAATCTCATCCTTCTTCAAAATAAGGTGGATCTTGTTCAGGGGGAGGTGGCCAGGAATCAATATCAAGCGATTCAGAAATATGTAAAGGTGAATATTTCAGACAAAATTGAATTTCCCTCGGCCCCCAATTCTTGATTCATAGTAGTAATCAAACTTCTTACCCTTTAATGCAACCAGGGAACTGTCGCATCTAATGCACCAATAATACCAATTTCTGCCCAGTTGAATTACAACATGGATGTGGTGTGTGAATATATTATGAAAAAGATATCTGTTCCAGTTCGAGATTTTGTTTCACCGCCACAGATGATTGTGATTCGCTCGTTTGATGTTAATAAGCCTGGTTGCGAAGTTCTTGAGCTGAAAGGAGGGGTTGTAGGTGGAAGCATCATCAAGGTATCCATGTCAACATCTCTTCTTGAAAATGTAAATGAAAAGAGAACGAAGGAAGAGAGGAAAAAATAAATGAATGAATAACTGACTTAAGTTTCACAGTAATTTGTTACAAGTATGTTATAAATCTTCTTGTGTACAGGGTGTTCTGAAGGTAAACCAAATTATTGAGCTCCGTCCAGGGATTCTGGGGAAAGATGCCAGCGGCAACTTGAGATGTAGTCCCATTTATACCAGAGTAGCTTCACTTCACTCTGAACAGAATAAACTTCAAATTGCTGTCCCTGGTGGCCTTATTGGGGTTGGCACAACAATGGATCCTGCACTGTCACGCAGTGATCGGTTGGTTGGTCAAGTTCTTGGTCAGGTCGGGACACTACCTGAAGTTTATACTGAAATCAAGGTAAGCAGATTCAAAGGAAACAAGCTTAATCAGAATGATTCAGAATTTTCATACAATTCACTGATGTAGGACCTCTCACTTGTGTTACACATTATCCATCTTCAGATTGCAAACACACATCTTTTGAGCAAACTTTTAGGAGTGACAATGAATGGCACAGCACAGGGAAAAGTTGGTGGTCTTATAAAGGGAGAAATTCTGCTGCTGAACGTTTCATCCATGGCAACCGGGGCTGAAGTTCTTAAAGTGAAGGATAAGCATGCAAAATTACGCCTCAAAGCACCAGTATGCACGAGTCTAGGAGAGAAGGTGGTCTTAAGTCGCCGCATACAAGGGCATTGGCGACTCATTGGTTGGGGCGTAATTGAAGACGGAATTACACTCGATGTACTTGCTGCGACACCAGACCTTACATGAATAGGAAAACTATAATAAGTTCATTTTATAGAGCAATTGTCGCTGCCTTTACCTTGAAACCATGCAGATTTGTGCTTCTTTCTGTTGCTAGGTATCGTGATTTTTTCGTTGCTATAGAACCAAGGACATAATTTCTTGATAATTGAATTTTCTTTCTTTATGATGAACATGAATTCATGACCATCAGAATAAAAGTGGTAGCGTCTTTGCGTAGAACTAAATTCTTACTTGAGATGGGAATTGGTTTTGTTGCATGTACCATGAATTGACAACTAACTTCGGTTTTAACGAATGATGAATGATGTTAGATTTTAAGATAATGAGAATAAGTGTGAAATTTCTTGAGAGTCAAATAATTATCAAGGAGCAGGTACTTTTCCAAAGGCAAGTATGGGGTGGGTTCGGGACGAGGAAGGGATGGGATTATAAATGAGAGGTTTTAGATTCCCCTTTTACTTGCCAAAAAAAAAAAAGGCACTACATGTTCCCCTTGTCCAAGAACTTGTGTTTCAACTCCATCAATAAACATAATTCGAGAAACATATGCACAAGATATCAATGAAAAGACATCGACACTTACAATGCCTTGAGCCCGTGATCAGGAAACGAAACGCAACTGAAACAGAGGATGTTACAGGGAAACTCCTTTTCTTTTGAGATGGTGCTCAACCATCAGTTATGAATCAGCTGACTTCAAAATTCAAGACAACATTTCACTTCCAATTCTTCGAAAAAATGAGGGAAATACTGAGGAAAATTTTATAATTATATGAGTTGAAGCCCAGCAAAACCTGCCGCACATTTGATTTTAAGCGTCAGAATTCAGAACTAGAGTCATCTGATCTTGGAGGTAAACCGTAGAAGAGAGAAGAAAAATGACTTATGCCTGAGATACATCCTAATTTTGCCAACAGAGATTTCTCCTACCCTCCTGCATGATCTCAAAGGCCAATTTATATCTTTCTAATGATGCTGCTCCAGCATCAATATAATTGCGGGCTTCTTCCCTCAAACTCCACAGCATCAATGCCTTGAGATCCTGTGAGCCACCACCTGAATCAATATCACGCAGTATTCCATATTTTGCGTTCTTGGTCCACCTATGTAAGACATAACGAGATGGAAGTTCCCTTATGTTCATAATTTGGAACACCTTCAACGCATGTCTACAAAGCATGCCTTCAAATTCGAAGAGTTTACAACTGCAACTGATGCTAAGATTTGAAGCATTAAATGCAACAGTATTCCTTTCATCCCCATTGCCACACTTCTGCACTATATACCTGCTAATAGCACCTTCAACATTAATCTTTATTCCAGCATAGCTATAGCATTCTAAGAGCTCCTTCTGAAAGACTTTGAACATTATTATTGTGTAAAGCCTTCGACACTGTTCTTCTATGGGATCTTTTGTGTGCAAAACTGCCTGCAAATTAAAGGAGTTAAAATCTTCTTTTCTTTCATCTTCACGTCGCTGTTCAACTGCTTTCTCATAACGTATAACAAATTCATTAAGGGGAGTATGTGCTGTCAATACTGTACCAAAGTAAGACTTTATGCTTCCATCCACTGGGATACCTGCAAAGAACGTGCCCTTTATGTACAAAGGAACCCAACTTTTACGCATCGTGTACATTTCCTTCAACCACGTGTTCTCTTTCAAATTATAGTTATTAATTAGAACATTCCATGCAGAATCAAATTCGCTAGCTGTCTGACTCTGTGAAATACAAGCCTCAAATTCATATTTGAACTCAGAGTTCAAGGACAGCAGTGCTCCCAGGTTTTCTTGTTCCTTGGCCAGCATTTGCCATGAAGAAAACCGATGATGTGTCCCAGGAAAAATATTCGCAATGGAATATGTAATTGCTTTGTCCTGATCAGCTATTATTGACACAGGACACCGGCCAGACATAGCCCTAAGCCATGCTTGAAACACCCAAGTAAATGATTCCTCAGATTCATCAGCAATTAGAGCACAGCCAAGAAGTACTGGCTGCCGGTGGTGATTAACGCCAACAAATGATGCAAATGGCACTGAATAACTACCCCTCCTGTATCCCGTATCAAATACGATGGCATCCCCAAACTGAGTGCAGGAAAATCTAGACCGTGCATCAGCCCAGAAGATGCTCATAGCTTTGCCATTATCCATCTCCACTGCATAGAAAAATCCTGTGTCTTCCGCTTGCCGAGACTGAAAATATTCAAGAAGTACATTGTACCAATCACTTCCAATATTACTTTCTCGGCCTCTTTTAACTAGACTAAGACCACCATTTGTTTCAACTAGATCCAAATTTTCCAACCCACTGATTACTTCTTCTCTAAATCCCTTTGTCACAGAAGTTGTTCTCTGACTGGCATCAGTTGCAGTGTCAAATTCATGATTGTGTTCCTTCTGAAGACGGTCAACAACCCACCTTCCTGTTTCTTGTCTTTGTATCCTCATAAATGCTCCACAACCTACTCTAGAAGGGTGCTGATGCCCTTCCTTTGAGCAGACAAATCTTCGGGATGTAATAGACCCATCATGCTTAGAACGGAATAACTGACCAATCCGAACTCTGAACCCTGTACTAGCTGCAAACGTGCAGTAAAACTGATATGCTTCATTAGCAGAAGTGAACTCAAGACCTTTGTATGGTTCACCTGCTGGTTCTCCTCTAAATTCATCATGTTTGAGTCGTTTGGCATCAACAACACCGGATGGACCTTCTTCCTCATGTGATCTAATTCCTGTCCTAGTAGAAATGACAGCTGTTGTTCTGGGGTTTGGAAGAGATTTCCTCTGTATACGCGAAGGGCAGATCTCACCAGGAAGTTCAAGTTCATGGTTATGTTCCTTGTTGATATTGGCAAGAACCCATTTCCCAGAATCAGCCTTTTGCACCCTTATGAAAGCAGGACAACCAGTTCTTGAATTGGTCTGAAAACCCTCCTTTGAACATACAAATCTCCTAGAAATAACAGAACCATCAACACGAGACCTATAAAGCTGGCCAATTCTGATTCTGAAACCTACTTGTGTGGCATAAAGATTATAAAATTCCTGTGCATCTTCTGCTGAATCAAACTCCAGCCCCACGTGAGGTTCAAGTTTTGACTCTCCTTCATCATCCCTATGGCCATTTGCTTTCACAACCATTAGAGCTATTGGTTTGGCTCTTACAGTAATAGCATTTCCTAACTCTTCTCTGCTCATATCAGTATCTGAGATGCAACCAAACAATGTTCCCAGTGGAATAACTAAAAGGACACAAATAATTTAGAAGAAAGCAGTCTCTGATGAATATAATGGCAAAACTTCTCTTAACAGATGGCTGTCAGTCCGTTATAGCACCACAATGCGACAAATAAACAACCAACCACCACAAACACTATAAATATCACATGGCAGAAGATGAGATTTATCAATATGCAGATACAATGATACCATGAATGCATCGACACATGAATACAAAGATTAGAAACCAGATGGCAAATACAAATGGGAAGAAAAAAGTTTTTACTGAAAGCAGATATGAAGGAAGAGTTTGCAAAGCGTAGCACATGCACAAGCACAAACACTCATACACATGCTGTGTGTGTGTGAGAGAGAGAGAGAGAGAGTATACCAGAAGACATCTGAACATAAAGAAATTTTATCAACATTTCAGCAGTTGCTTGATCAGCACCAGATCATGGGATTTTGTTAACTTTTCTAAGTTCAGTTTGGTGTACTGAGAGTGAGTATGACAGTTCCCTTTGGATAAAATCTAGTGAACTAACAAAATATGGAAAATTTTGAAACTTAAACTTGTATTTTGTAGCATCACGTTCACAGATGTGTGTATTCCATTATATAGATTTGGTAGAAAATGCAAGAAAAGCAAATAGCACTCTGTGGTGATACAACAAGAAACTTGGAAAAAAATATCCCACTTTTATTTCTATTAGTCAGCTTTTACAATAATCAGAAAAACTACATTGTTCTTGCACTACAATTCCAGTAATTTCAATAATAGGGGGTGTTTCACTACAAATTTGAGGTAGATATTTCCATGAAGTTTGATAAGATACAGAGAAACAGAAAGGCCTTATTCTGTAGTAAGACGAAGAGTGAATAAAGAAACCAGCCACAGCCAACAGCTCATTTATTTTTATAACTTAACTCTACTGGAAACCACAAATATTGAGTGCCAAACTTCAGAAGGGTTGAGAAAGATTACATGGAAACTTATGTTAGACGACAGGCTTTGTTTGTAGAATGAGATTCTTGAGGAAAGTTCAGCAAGATAACCTCTATCAAGAGATCTGCAAACTTTCATTAAGTATAGTCATGTAAATAATCCAATAGGGTCCAGAATCCAACTCACACATCCAATTAAACCTATCCACTTTCTTGGCACAAAATCACTCACGTAGCAAGCTCCAAAAGCTTAAGGAACCTTTTTTTTTTCTCTGCTCATATGGATATGTTGGGGCATTCACTTCTTCAGATATTAACGGAGAACCATAAAACACTCAAATTGCACCTATACATAATCACAAAATATTGCAAACACCGATAATTCATTGCCGATAAAATATACATTTTACACTCATCATTTCAGCTAAGCTCCTACAACCAATTCACAAAAGCAGCAGTTTTTCCTTAGTGAGATGCAGCAGCCAAATCCCAGTTCAACTTGACAATTAGAAAAGCACCACAGAGCTCAAATCAAACAAACTACTACAATTGCCCAATCCCATCGCACCAAAAGCCCATAAAGAAATTGTCACCAGGAAAGTATTTTTTTCTTTGAAAAAAAAAATCATTAACCAATTAACTCAAAATCAGAAAAGAACCGGATACCCATAATAGATGGGTAAAGAATTCAAGAATTTTTTTTATGAAAAAAAGGGACTGTGATAAAGGTTTTACCTTAGCATATCTGGATAACAGGCAATATGATGAAATCGGTCTTCTGGAGCTAAAACTACAGTGCTTATCACTCAGGAACCGCATGCATTGAAACGCCGAAGAGGAAACATGAAGAAAATCCAAAACTGGGCGCAAACTTAAGAGGGCCTTCTCCAAATCCAAATTTACATTCAACTCCCGAGCTAAAACCAAATTAAATGAGTAAATCTCGACAGCCCTTAAATCAGAATTGATTGAAACGGTAGAACATCATTTAATTTCCTTTTAGTCAGCTCAATTTAGTTTTCTTTCTTTTTTTATTGAGTAATGAGTAGTGTGCGTAGCTAGCTGCAAGAAAGGTGCTGAGGTGGATTTTGTGCGGTGCGGGTCCGTCTGGGAACTCGTGACAGTGACGATTTAATAGCAGCAAAAACAGAAATTCATTATATATTTAAGGGAAATTCTTTATCCAAAACTGGGATCCAAATTTTTTTTTCATTCTTTACATATTTAAGGGAAATTTTTCTTTCTTTTCTCAGTTTTATATCTTGAGTTAAATTCACTATTAGACAATGAAATAATTAATTTTGACCCTTAGATTATAATCATTTGAATATTTTAAAATATAAATAACTAATATTATTGGGAGGTACAAATTGAGAAAATAGTTCTCTTTGCAAAAAATGTTATAATCATTTGAGTAGTTTAAAGTGTAAATAAGTAATATTATTGAGACGTACAAATTGAGAAAATGGTCCCCTACACTGTTGGATTAATTTTAATTCATATATTATAACTATTGAAATAATTTATGTAAATAATTAACATATTCTATAGAGAAAATTGCAATTTCAGTATCAAATGTTTGAGTTATCACGGTTCTAGTTCCTAAAGTTTAGACAAAAACAAATTTAGCATCAAATATTTTTATCTGTAAGTAAATTTAGTCCGATTAACTAGTTTTGGCAAATTATTACCAGATTATAATCACGTGAATAGCATGTGCTAGTAGCTAATTATTATAAAAAATTAGAAAAAAATGAAAAATATATATTGCTTCTAATTTTTTAACACATTTAGTCCAATTGATTAGTTTTGATACATTGTTATCGAAATTCGGTCACATGATTAGCACATGCTAGCAGCTAAATTTTGAAAAGATTAAAAAAATAGCATTATTTAATTACAGATCATGGCTACGAACATTTTTTTCATTTTTTTTTCTAGTTTTTTCAAACATTAGTTGTTCGGACATGCTACTCGCATGGACAGATTCTGATAACAATTTGTTAAAATCGGTTAATTGGGCTAAATATACTAAGAGATTTAAACATTTGGTACTACATTTGCTTTCATTCAAATTTTAGAGGCTAAAACCAGCTGTTCCAAATATTTGGTGCCAAAATGCAACTTTTTCTAAATTATATGTTTATTTGTATGAGATGTAAATAGAATAACTTTTTTTTAACAAATAGAACAAACAGAAATCAATTCATTTTTTCTCTAATCATTTTTTTTTGTCAAAATTTTCTCTAATCATTTCATTGAGAAATTAGGGGCATATTAAAGTTAAACATGAACCAATTGCCCAAAGACTTAAAACATAGGTGCTAATTGCTAAATAGACAAAACTTTAAGGGCACCATCTAGCATTATAACTTCTCTCAGCCCTTTGGCCCCCTGCAGGCTGCATCTTCTCTTTCAATTTCAAGTCTCCAACTCCTCCGTAGCCAGCTGTGAAGAGCTCCCCCGTAGCCAGCGGATTAACTGCTTCTCCATATAGCCTTATTATTCAGTCGTCGTTTAAATTTCAGAACTGGGTTTTTACGATTTTCCCCACCTGCTCAATATTTATCAACTCCAGAGATGTAAGTTTCAAAGTTCCTCTTTTTTTTTTGGGGGAGAAATTGAAGCTACTATTGCTTTCTTCAATCTTGTGTACTCTTTATTTTATCAATGATTGTTTTTCCAGATACCTATTTCATTGAGCTTTCATTGAGCTGAAATTTTACTATTAGCTATTTACGACACCCTTCAATGTGTATATGAAGAATTAGTAGCATTTGAATGGGAAGGCCTCCTTCATTTTTCACTAATCTCTGCATCCGCCGGACCCCGAATACCCATTTCCAAAACCCTAATAGTCAAATCCGAAACCGAAACAATAGTAATACCAGTAAAAGCAGTGCTGGGAATGGAGAATTCGTGCAAAATTCAGATGCAAATGTGGTTAAAATTCATGACTTTAAACCGCAGGGTTTTACTGAGATAGCCAAAGCGGTATCCAAGATTATCCGCAGCCGACCCCGATGGGAGGAAACCATTCTTTCAGAATTTCCAACTGTGAATTTTGTTGATCCCAGCTTCTACAATGAGGTCTTGAAGCACCAAAATAATGTATTTCTGTCTCTCCGATTTTACTATTGGATTAGTTCTCAACATGGGTTCTTGCCAGATTCTGTCTTGTGTACTGTGATTTTTAATGGACTTGTGGAGGCCAAGGCTGCTAAAATTGCACAAAATTTCCTTGGTTTTATGAGATTTATGCCGGAGCCCAATGACCTGGAGCGTTTTGCAGAGTGCCTTTGTGAAAATGGATTGATTGAGGATGCTCTTGAGGTATTTGATTATTTGAAGTGGGTAAACTACTGCCCCACATTGAAGACATGGAATTCAGCGTTGTCGGGTGCACTTCAGGCAAGAAGGGCTGATATTGTTTGGAAAGTTTATGGGAATATGATCGAAAGTGGTGTTATCGCAGATGTGGATACTACTGGATACTTGATTGATGCTTTTTGCATGGATGATAATGTTTGGAAGGGTTATGAACTTCTTCGCCAAGTTGTGAACGGTGGTCATTTTCCTTCTAGTGTCGTTTCTAATCAATTGATACGTGTATTCAGTAAGAGTGGGAATTATTCAAGAATGTCAGATGTACTGCACATTATGATTGCGATGAATCAGCCCCCAGGTATATTTACTTATCAGGAAGTTATCAATGGGCTATGCAAGAGAAATATGAAACATGAGGGTTTTCGAGTTTTTAATGATCTCAAGGATAGAGGATATGCTCCAGATCGGGTAATGTACACCACAATGATTCATGGCCTTTGCAAAATGAAATGGCTAGGAGATGCTCGGAGGTTGTGGTTTGAAATGATACAAAAGGGTATGATTCCTAATGAGTATACATACAATGCTCTCATTTATGGGTATTTTAAGATTGGTAATCTAGCAGAAGCTGAGAGGCTTTCTAAGGAAATGTGCGAAATTGGTTATGGTGAGACCACTGTGAGTTACAACACCATGATTAAGGGCCTTTGCTTGAATGGGAAAGTAGAAGCAGCTCATGACTTGTTCCAACAAATGGCTGAGAGAAATGTTGCCTGTGATGTCATCACATTCAACTCTCTGATTCAGGGCTTCTGCCAGGAAGGTAATATAGCTATGGGAACAAAGCTTTTACATGATCTTATAAATAGGGGTTTGCAACCATCAACTGCCTCGTATACAGTGCTAATTGAAAAACTTTGTGAGATGGGGCATGTTGAGGAAGGTACAGTACTCTGGAAAGATATGCAAGAAAGGGGTGTGTTACCTGCTGTCTGTAGTCATGATTCAATCATTGTTGGACTGGTTGAGCAAGGCTTTCTTGCTGAGGGGATGGAGTGGCTGAGCAATATGCTAGAGAGTCGGCGCAGACCACGGCAGGAAACTTTTGAGAGACTGATTCACTGTCTTTCTGAAGCAGATAAGTGGGGTGATGCCTTATTTGTTTTAGGTAGTATGCTGAAGATGGGGTATACCCTGAATGAGTGCATTTGCCTTTCTGTTGTGGGCAAACTCTGCAATGATAATCCCAGTGGTGTTGAGAAATGTATAGAGGATGTCCTTAGAACAGCAAATGCTTCGTAGAACTGTTTGTATTCTCGACTCTTCTACAAGAAAAAGAAAAGATCCACATTTGTTCGTATTCTTTTTTAATTTTAATTTTTATTTTTGCGTCTGTCCCCATTGTTTGTAATACCTCACCATTTATCCATTTAATCCTCCAACTGGAACTTTGTTGGATGAAGAGGAGTATGTGAATTGGAGAATCAGAATTAGGGTTCTTGAAGTACTTTTTCTTTAAAGCCAGCTTTCAATGCATGCATATATTGATCATCCGGCTACCAGTTGTCCACTGGTAGTTCCAATCTAGTAGGTAGAACAGCTCTTTTTGGGTCATTTGCACTTACTATTTAGCCGGCAATGTTGTGAAATAAGCCACAAGTATATTATTCAAGGAAAACGATAATCCCTGGAATTTCTTGGATTTGTCATATACTGATAAGGATTAAACAGCAGAGGTTTCCAGTAGCTGTTCAAAAATGCAAGGTTTATCGTCACTTGCCATGCAACAGGACAAACGGTTCATTATGTTACTCTGGAGTTGTTATTTTAGGTTCTCAAATCTGCTTAACTGATTGGAATGAAACACAGAGAGAAAAACTCACTATTTTGGAATATCTGTGTCACGACTACACAAAATTCAACAAACAATGCGAGATACCTAATTACAGTATGACAGCGCCAACAACTGAAGGTTCAGACAAGAAGATAAAATGCTGGGGAATTCTTCATTATCCAAGCGAAAATTTATCAAAGTCAGAAACTGAAGAGAGTTAAACTGGCCTCTGAAACTTCGTTGCAGAAGACAATTCACCAACACCAAATGTGTCAATGAAGCTGCTTCAAAAATCATCTCGACAGGCAGAGGAAAATGGTCAACTGACCAATGTTTGTCGTACTCATTCTAGAATTGGAGCGGTAGTCTCTGTGCACCTAATAAGGCAATAGATCGTATCCACCTACTAAAATCAGTGGAAAAATTTTTCCCCAACCAACATTTTATAGAGATATAGGTTATGTTTTGATCCGAATAAAGCTGTAAAGATATCGATATATAGCTTTCAAAAACCTTAACTTATGCTTGAAGCTCCCATCATACACGATAGCTCCAAATATCCTGCTACAATCAATGTCTAGCCTAGACCTAAGTTTGCAAACGCCCTTCCAGCTTCCTGACAAAATTGCGTTTTCTGCATTTGCGCTCGAAATTATGCTCACGTGAGAGAGGTGTATTATTTTTAGTTTGAGAAATGAGCAAATATGAGCATTAGGACCAAACTGGCTCATAATTTATATATTAGGGACTATTTTGGCTGATTTTAAATATTAGAGATAAAAAATGCTTTCATTTTTTATAAAATATTAGAGACCAATTTGACAAATTTTCATATTAAGATACGGGAAAATCGTCCAATACGTCCCTCACATTTTATGAAATGACTTTTTTCGTCCTTCACTTTTAAAAGTGTAATTTTATGTCCCTTACATATTCACATCGGTCAAATTTAGTCCCTAACTAGGTTTCCAATCATTTTTTGGCAGGAATCCATCATGTGCAAGGCACATGATTATTTTTGAAGGGTAAATTTGTCAAATTATATTTTACATAATCTAATATATAGTCCTCCACATTTTATAAAACAAATTTTTTCGTCCCTTACATTTTATAAAATGATTTTTTCATCCCTCACATTTCACAAAATGAATTTCTCCATCCCTCACATTTCAGAAAATGAATATTTCCATCCCTTACTAATTATGTGTGTAAGGGAAACCCTAAAAAAAAACCATGTGTGTGAATACATTTTGTTTAAACACATGTATATGTCTATTTGATTTTGCTTAATAATACGAATAGCATAAATATATGTATGTGTCTTTTTTATTTCACTTAACAATATAATTATACGTGATCATTTGATTTCATCTAGTATTAGCTAGTAAAAAATCTTGCATTCATTGTCAAGTTGGCCAATGAAATTATTTTCGGTCAAAATACAATAATAATATGCAAATTAAGATTCTATTGGTAAATGTTAGTCATAATCATACAAAAAGAGAAGATAGCCCACAAGTTAGGTCCAATTACATGTGTTTATGCTATTATTATTAAACAAAATCAAATAGACATATACATGTGTTTAAAAAAAATGTATTCAAACACATAATTAGTGAGAAATGAAAAATTCATTTTTTGAAATGTGAGGAATGGAGAAATTCATTTTGTGAAATGTGAGGGATGAAAAAAATCATTTTATAAAATGTGAGGGATGAAAAAATTTATTTTATAAAATGTGGAGGACTATAGATCAGATTATGTAAAACAAAATTTGACAAATTTACCCTTAAAAAATGATCACGTGCCTTGCACATGATGGATTCCGGCCAAAAAATGATCGGAAACCTAGTTAGGGACTAAATTTGACCGATGTGAATATGTAAGAGATATAAAATTACATTTTTAAAAGTAAGGGACGAAAAAAGTTATTTTACAAAATGTGAGGGACGTTTTGGACGATTTTCCCTTAAGATACCTATACCTCAATTGATCACTAATAGTAATGATAATTTCAGAAACCTTCCCTGAGATTTCTGACAATTTTACTGAACTCTCCTGAGATTTAAAAAATTACACATACCTTCCTTATCATTTAAAATGATAATTTTACCCTTAAATATTTTAATGAAATTCTTTTATTTGGTATGCTTATACTTAGAATGAGTTTTAAAATTATTTTTTCATTCTTTTTCCTTCTTATTGCTTTTTTAAAAAATTTTCACCAATAAAACTGTAAAACTATCACTATTGCCTTTAGATTTCTATTATAATCAAATGTGGAACTAGCGATTTTTTTAACGAGTTAATTTTATATGTAATCCAATATTTTTGCTGATCTTTGTTTCCAATTTTTTTTGTATTAAAATTAACAATAAATCAAAAAATAAAATGGCCCAAAAGTACTACTAAATTATGATAATCCCACTATTCCAAAAATTTATAAATTCTAAATGAATTATTTCAAAATTTTCTTTTCTATCTTATAAATCTAAATCCATAATAAAATATCATCAAAAATATCATATCATAGTAATAAAATTATTATTATTATAGTTGTTTATCAAATAGTAAATATGGACATGAAAATTTTGGCACCTTTTCCTTATAATTATACTAAATAATCTTATAATTGTATAGAAAAATAAATTAAAACTCATTCCAAAAGAGCATTGTTGGGTATTCATTTAAAAAATTGTCCAAATCAATATTATTTTAAGATTTTGTTACTAAAACTATCAAATTAAGGGACATAAGTGTAATGTTTCAAACCTTAGGGAAGCTTAATTTAAATTATTAGAAACCTCGAGGTAGGTTTCTGAAATTATCCCCCAATAAGTTTTCAGTATTCAATTCCGGCACATGCCTGATAGCGGTTATCTTTCGGGGGCAATTATTACTGCATATCAAGTATAACCAACAAATAGACAAATTCCTAAAACCCTGGCAATTCTCCCCAGAGACTCTCGTTTCCAACTTTGAGAAAAGCATACCTAGGGTTATGATAATTTGGTTGAATCGGTGAAATGGTGACCCTTGAGGAAGTTCCCCCAGTTGATTCTGAAGCCGGAGAGTCCGCTCAGTGTTGCACTGGCGCCGGTCAAGGAGGTTCATTATCGATCAATTTTACACTTTTAATAATTTGATGTGGATGATATCTGATTCTCTGCGTTTTTGCTCTTCTTTTTTATAATATATAGCAAATCTTTTATCTTCAGCCGTTCCATCATGTTCGGAGCTTGGAAATTCTGAATCTTTAATTGTAAGTTCCTTTAGTGAAGATCTTGCTAAATTATTATAGTTTTATACTGGTGTTTGGTTTTCTTGGTGATTGAATTCAACCACCAGAATTCTTGAGGAGAAACTTTTAGCCTTGGTTGTGAGAAAATTGTCTAAATTTTTTTTTTTTTTTTGAATGTTATAGGGGATTCCTTCCTTAGTTTGTGCCACAAACTCCCAATACAACACTTCTGATGAAGAAGACAATCGTCGTAAACTAGGTTCATTTCTGATCACATTTAACGTTTTTAATTGCATTTGATGTGGAATTTTAATTTGATTCTCTGCATTGCTTTAAGATTGTTTTGTGATATTCTGAATCAGATTTACCATATTCCAAGATTGCCTCTCCCGTCCTGTCATGGTGCAGGGAGGTGAAGTCGCTGATTGTAAGTTACTGTCTCAAAATTTGTACTGTTATGTAGAAAGGGGAAGATTTAAAGAATTTATCAGTTAGGCAGAATTTCAGTTGTTTTAAGACCATGTTGACTCACTTGGACCTTCTTTATCAATTTTACTTATCATGTAAAATAAATTAGATATTTGCTTTTGCAATGCATTCTTACATGGTGAAGAATCAATGAATCATGGCACAATTGCCTACTTTATCTGTGGTCCAGCTCAGGTTTGGAGCTACTTGAAGACTCTTCTTATTCAAGCAAATTTTGTGAAATCATTTGGTAGATTCACTTGGAAATTGTGTACGTATAAATTGATTGCACTTACAATTAGGGTAGGCAAAAATTACTCCTTACGTCATATGCAGTCTGTAACAAAACACATTACCTCAAATCTTTCAATTCTCCATTTATAGCACTACTTTTTTTTATATGAGGTACCAGATTTTTGTTGATTGTTTAGGATGGGTAGAAACAAATTTCAAAGGCAACATCCTTTTCACTGTGACATAAAAACAGGTTAAGAAATGGAATGACTTGATCTTATCACAATTTGATCACTCTGGAATATATTAATTTTATTATTTCAACAAATGATTATTTTGAATGGCTTGGAAGTGTTAAGATTGTCATTATCATGCATTGTTTCAGCCGTCAAGCTTCAGGAATGCATGATGAATTATCTTGTCATTATTTGCCTCTGCACATAATGAGTTAGTGGTGTTAATATTTGCTGAATGTTAATACATGTTGATCTGTCATTGCTTTGACTGATATCGATTCCGTTTAGAAAATAAGGATTGGAATAATTTTTTAGGCTACAAATACAATGGATGGTCCTCAAACGCAGAGGTTGCTGGGGCAAGTTGCTAAGGAAATGCTGATTCATGGTTTTGCTGGCTTTCACTTGTTAACCGAAAATGGAAATGCAGCCAGCAGGTCTTCCTTTACGGGGAACGCAAAGATTTTCCATGGTGAAAAGATTGAAATTACAGTTGACATCAGTTCTCCTGCAAGTGCACAGCAAAATATTAACGAGAATGGTGGTCAATCTGAGCAAGCCAACAGTGGTCCCAATGCCCCTATTCGCAGCAGACGGGAGAGGGAGGAGAATACCGGGGAGAGAAAAGTGTGTGTGGGTGTGCAGATCCTGTGTGGAGCAGCTGGGATTGCACTAGTTGTGGGGGTAATATGGATGGGCTGCGAGGTGCACAGCTTATTTAAAGCTGGGAAAGCAGTCTTAGGGTCTGGGAGAGCAGCAGTTGATGGGTGGCTAGCCAATGGCTGCCCACCATTAGTCAATAGCTTGGTAGATTCTGTACAATTTCGAATGTTTGGCAGTCAATAGCTTCGTATGTCAATAGCACGGTGGATGCTTATACAGTATGGTATGGTTGTCTTTACCCTTTTTGTGGTCAAAGACTGACACGATGCAGAACGAAGTCAGTGAATGATGTCATGCCAGTCCCGAAAATGTGCAGAGCAACGTGGCTTTTTGGTCAAGAAAATGTTAGAAAAAAAAACGTGGCTTTTTGGTTCTGTGACCAAAAAAGGACGGTGAATTGTAGTAAATCCCGTGAAGTTTTGGTAGAGTTGCACTTTGTCTCCCACAGTTTTTCCATCAAATACTCTTGACCCGTGGATCTCGACCCATTTTTCATTCTTCCATTTATTTTCTTTTCTGTTGCTCATCCAATTTATTTCTTTTCTTGCCATCAAAATTTTCATTTTCTCTGTACGCATTTTACTTTCTTTTTTTTTTCTTTATCCACCTCTTAAAGAAAATAATATTGAAAATGAAATTTTAGAAATATTTAAAAATCAAATCTCCTTCAGTTACTTAGGTGTACCAACCTATGCATTAGTTCACCTTATGCATTCGTATTTTGCTTATATAAGTGAGAGTAACAAAATTGTAAAATTTGAAGGTAAAAGCAAAGCAAAATTAAACTAAATAAACACATAACCTAAATTGACCAAGATGGGGGAGTTTTGGCAAGAACGAGATGAACGAATAATAGAAGAAAAAAATTTAATGAAGTAAGGAAATGAGCCTCTAATACAAGCAAAACCATAAGCTGAATAATATAAAACTCAGCTACTAATTCCCTTCAATTTAATATTTTTACACTAGGATTGATAACTGAACTGAATGAACTTCCAGCTCATTAGTCAATTGATTCAAGTCAAACTTTCAACTTTTTTAAATTTATTTTGATCTTTAAAAAAACTAAATAATACTAAATTCAAATATTTTAATGTTGACTAGTACAAGCTCTTTAAAACTGTGCTCTTTTGCTTCTTTTCTGATTTTATTTCAAAAATTAATTTGAATAATAATGTATTAGTTTCCTCTTTTGATTCACTATACTTTTTGGAAATTGAAATATGGTAAAGTAATACTACATTTTATTGTGTACATTACTAAGATGACCACATGCTTCATAAAATGACAAACATAACCTTTGTTTATAATTAGTGATATAAATTTTTTGGATTAATCATTACACTAAGGGTCCGTTTGTTTCGGGTGAAAATGTTTTTCAGAAAAATATTTTCCTAATTTCCCGTATTTGGTTGCACAAAAGTTACTGAAAACATTTTCCTATATAAAATATTTTCACTCATCTTATGGAAAACAACTTCCCTTCCAAACTTACTGAAGTTGTTTTCTGAAATGCATGCATCCCGCATGTAGTATGTTCCAAACTTACTGAAAACATCTTGTAGTATGTTTTTTTTTTTTTTAGTGTAAACAGGAGGACTCGAACCCAAGACCTCTTCCTTACACTCCCTCCCCCGTACCACCAAACCCAACCCAACCCAACCCTCCCCCTAGTATATTAAAAAAAAATAAAAAATCTCATCCTGCTCATCCTATGCTAGTAATTAATTATGTATAATAGGGACATTCTTTTCTAGATAAACTTTCAGCAGTGAGAGTGCAAGATATATGTCACAATAAGCATTGCATGTGATTGATATTTGACACTAAATGGCCAGCAATTTGTTTATTGCTTAAGGAGATATTTTTTATTCATACATACATTTCTCCAAGATTTTTTAAAGTTAAACAATGAGATAAATTTTCTTATTTTGCATGGGAAGAAGTATGTAGTTATAATGTGTAGAAAGTAAAGATAGAGATAAAAGTGAAAATATTTCAAAAGTTAAACAAATACCAGAAAAATGAAGTAAGAAAATATTTTCAATAAGCTAACCAAACACCTGAAAATGATAAAAGTGAAATGATTTTCATGGAAAATTACTTCCACGGAAAATATTTTCCCAAGGAAAACATTTTACTTCCAACCAAACAGACCCTAATAGCGTGTGTTAGTGCATTGAGATACATATTACATCATCCAAACTTGAATTTGAGTTCCACATTTTGCACATGTTGCATGTATAAATAAACCCACTAGTTTATATATATATAAATAGTGTACAAAATATTTATCCATATATTTTTTGAATAAATCTTTTATACACCATTAGTATAAACTCATTTTATACTAACGGTTCATTATTGTGTGCCAATTCATTAATGAAGGTGTGTAACTCGTTGGGTAACTAGTTTTAGCTTCTTTCATTAATGAAAATGTAAGTGTTTTTTTCTTTTTTATAAATGGGAGGTCTTGAAAGATATAAGTATAGTCTGAACGATAGCACATAAAAACTTTGGAACGACTGATTTGAATAGGAGATTATTTGGGATAATTTTTTGGAAAAAAAAAATTGTAGCATTCTTTTGAAGTGATGTATGTGAGATAAAAAAAAAATTGTTAAAAATAGTTTATGATACATGCAAATAAATTTCTAAAATATTAAATTACATAGAAATTAATTAAATAGAGTTTAGTACAAATAAAAAATCAACAGCTTAATAGAATTAGAAATTTATAACTTTATCTCAACTAAAACTATGAAAACTCATGAAAATCAATTTCGAGAAAAACCTACAGGTCTATCCTTCCATTGCCTTTGTTTTCATGCTTTTGCTTTCTAAATGTATTTACTTGTCCACTTTCTTCAATCTGTTCCCACTTATTTTAGCATGGTAAATTGAAGTGAAAATCACGTGTCCCAATTCAAATCTCAAAATCCATACCTTTGTAGATCTCCAAAATTTTCTCTCTCTACATCTAATTACAAATATGTATATCTTTCCATAGCTTGAAGAGAAATTTTCTTTTCCCTACATGATCCATGATTTCATGCCTCCCTGGATCCAAAAATTTTTTCCAAAATTTTCTTAGTTTATATCAGTTCCTCCACATTGATAAAAATATCTATTAGTCTTATTTTAATTACGAAACGATGATGGTTGAGGTCTATTGGTGGTTTGGATAATGCAAAAGTCAAATAGAAGTTATAGATGCTAGAGGGTAGGAAATTAGAAGAGAAGAACAAATCTTTTGCAGAATTATTCGTGAAATATACCAGGTTTATTTTTAGACATAGTTTATTAAAAAGAAAATGATTTTCATAAACTAATAAACTTGCTATGACATCTATCTAAAGTTAATTTACAATAAAAGAAGTTAATTTACGTTGATGATATATATAAAATTCATTCTATATTTTCTAGCATTATATATTTGGAAGACTAAATTAAAAAATCTCCTCACTGCATGTGACTAAACTGAAGTGTTTAATTCAAATTGAGATTTTTATTGGGGATCAAATCGATACTTTCAGAGTATTTCAAATGACCAAATAGAAACTTTTCCAATTCGACTCAATTAAATTGAGATTTTGGAATTCAAAAGACTAAACGAAATTTACCAATAGCCAAACTGGCTAGTTGACTTTTCTTTATAGCCATAGGGTTAAAAACAAAAAAGTCCCATGTGGTATATATAATATACAAAAAAATCTCTCGTGATTTCAAAACATACAAAACGATATCTCATGTTTGAATTAAATTGTAAACTAATAGAATTTGTTAAAGTTAACGAAAATGACAGTTTCGACTATTAAACTTACTAGATTCCATTAAGTTTATCGTTAAATTTACCGGATTCCGTTAAGTTTAACGAATTCTGTTAGTTTATAATTTAATTCAAAACATGAGATGTCATATTGTATGTTTTGAAACTACGAGGGATTTTTCTATGTATTAGGCATACCACAAGAATTTTTTTGTTTTTAACCCATAGTCATATTAAATGGGTGGCAAACTTTTATTACTATAGGATAGAGCACCCGGTTTCTAGTTTGTGAATGTCCTATTTAATACCATATATGAAGCAGTGTTTGTTGCGTTGTCTAGTTTCTAGTGGTTGAATATGTTTTTACCATGAAATGTTAGAAACTACTACACTATTTTGTAGAATTTACTCCTATCCCGATAGTAGTTTATGGATTCTCAAACTTGGCAACTTCTACTCATGCTTTAGATTAAGTTCTCAATACTTTTGCTTAGTATCGGATTAAAATATCCTCCAGCTCCAGCTTGGCAACCATTAGAGGCTTCCCAAGTCAAGAAACCCTTTAATTCAATACTCCTGCAAATCGATACTAGGCCTATCAACGGTCCGGGTCTAGATCTGGATCTATGAAATTATTGCGGGTATGGCCGTATAGGTAGGGATTTAATTCTGTTACTCAGACCCCAATCCGGATCCGTTTTGTCAAATAAAAAAGGGTCGGATACGGAATATAGTATTTTACTCCGTATTAGACCCGGATCTGGATATAAATGGATTAATAATTTAAAAAATATATATTTATCAATATAATTTGATTAGGATGATGTATTTGAGTAAAGTCAATTTTGATTTTCTTTTCTTATTTGGCTTTTTTTGTATTAGTTAAAAATTAGTTTACAAATATATTTTTTCTTATTTTTATTAGAAAATTGTAAGTTTTGATAAATTTTTTCGGGTATACCCGACCCGGATCCAGATTCGGAACATAGAGTAAATGACCGGTCGGGTAAACGGATCGGATCCGGTCCGTATGGTATTCGGGTTTGGGATAATAAATTTCGACCCGGACCCGACCCGTTGACAGGCCTAATCGGTACCAACGTCACATGATTATTTGAAAAGATAATTTAGTAATATTATGTCAATGATATCCAATACTATCAGACAAAAACCTGGCAAACCATATAGAATAGCACGAAAAAACCATATCATGAGTGTACACTGATCTCGGAGCAAGCATCCAAAATAAGTTGTTTCAAGATGCAGATTCATATTTGCATATGCCAATTGACAGCCTAGCCCAGTTAATCGGTCATGTAGGAAATTAAACTAAGCTGTATTTGGTTTCCTAATTTTTTTTTGTGTCTTGTTTATTTAGTTTCCATATTGGATTAGAAAATTTAAAATCAATTTCCAAGTAAGTTTCGGTTTACAATTATATTTGTTTTAGAAAGGTTTGGAGTTTAGAAAGGTTTGGAGTTTATAAATACTATCAGTCTAGTAGGTTATTACTTAAAGAGTTGAATTGAATTATAAGAATAGATTTGAGAGAAAGTCTCATAATTAAAATTTGGGAGAAAGACTCGTAGTTAAGAGTTGTGAGTGATCGTGAGCGAAACGTTATAACTTAATATTTATTATTATTGGATATTGAATTAGTAAATTATTGAGTATTTACTTGTGTGTTTATTTTCCTTATCTTCTCACATATTTTTATGTGTGTCAGAATTATAC